GACCACCCTGAAATATAAACATTGGACTATAATCTATGGACTATTTCTGAAAGAACTCGTTGCAACTACAAAGCTCACCATCTCTGCTGTGAATCTGAACCTCAAGAATTGAACTCACATCTATATGTATGCTGATCTTTTACCCATATTCTCTCTCTCTTTTGTTTTTTTAATACATTGTAGTTTAGTTAATAAGAATTGGCTGTATACATGTATTTGGGTAAGATCTGGAAGATTCATTAACCTGGGAGGTAATGTGTCCGATCCTTTGGGATTGGTAGAATCTTTTATTTTATATGATGAAGTAAGATTTTCAGAAATCTTCATCATATTTGACTTGGGTACCTGGATGGAGGCCTGACGCTGGGTTACTTCAAGGAAACTGTGCTGTTGGCTTCCAGGCAACCAGTGAGGTAATAAAGAAGCTGTTTTATGCTGGCTTGGAAAATCTAATCTATTTAAAATATTCACCAACTTTGGGGATTATCTGCCCCATTCTTTGCAGTTCACCCTAATTGAGTGACCTCAGCTGTCCCCCACTGGGACTCCGGTCACATAGCCCAACTCCTTTAAGGGTCAGGACCCCTACAATTACACCACCTTGAAATTTCAGATTTAAATAGCTGAAATCATGAAATTTATTATTTTTTAAATCTTGTGACTGTGAAATTGACCAAAATGGACTGTGAATTTGGTAGGGCCCTATCTATAACCAGGAATAAAGATATTCTAGTCTTTATTATGGCTTACAGTTCTGCTGATGCATGAAAAGAAACTGGCTCACTCTTTCATTAGATTCATGAACTTGTGCACTGACACACACAAATTAATGGCCAGGCCACTATTAGGGATGGCCCAAATATCCAAAGCCTAAATCCAAAGATGAGAACAGGTACACTAACAGCTCTATGCACCACCAGAATTTGCATTAGGCCTTTGAGGCACTAAAAATGGCCAACTGCTCAAATAAATTAGTGTCCATTGTTGTCTACTGGACTGAAAGCAGGATAAAAATGTCATTAATTTCTCAGCACTTTTTTCTGCACAAGTTGATGGATCATGGACATACTGTGCTGGTACCAGCTGTTTCAACATAGGATTGATGTCACCATGGAAACGGGACCCAATGATACACTAGATACAAGCAACATTCTATGAATCAAGACTCAAGAACATCAGTCTTATTCACAGGAGATCTGGCACTCACCAATCAAAACTTACACAGGAGAACGCTGAATGACAAATTCCACTTTCCAAATACAAGTCTCGCAACATCCTGGTGAAGTAGGTGACTATATCACCTTTAGAAATGGGTAAATTGAGGTACAGACAATTAAGTAATTTGCCCAAACTGGAATCAGTGGAAGAACCAGGAGTAGAGCCTGGAGAGCTTAACTTCACTAACCTCCCATGTAACAGAAACCTAGAGAACACCTAGGTCAGAGGAAGCCCATAAACACTGTCTCAATTTAATCTCTTGATGTTATAAAATCATCCTTTTTAAAAAATATAAAACTCAAAGACTAGCAGATCAAATTTTGGTAAACTGATTGAGAAGGCTGATCCACAGAATGGAGAAAACCAAGATTTTCACCAGCGGGAGAATGATTTTCTCTCTTTCCTCTCACATCCTTGTTTAATCTAAATCCCAGTTTTTCAATTTACCTTGAATTATATTTCAAGTTTCAGGGTAGCAGAGAAGATATAATTGACTGATTCTAGATACTTAATTTATCCCCATTATTCATGTAGGGTCAGAAAGATTTACTACATATAAACAATGGATCAAGAGATAGCTTGTGGCATTCTGTTTTTGCATGATCAGTTTTAGTCTGTATCAAACTATGTTACAAAGCAGAATAAAACCAAGGTCTGGAGCACTTGTATCTAGCCAACAGGGGAGAAAGCAATTACTTTTTACTAAAACATGCAAACGTGTCAGACACTGATACTACAGATAGGAGCAAAGGGAGAACACAAACACCAGGAGAATGGGCTGGAAGCGCAAAGAAAGGAGGAGGAATGGGGATATTAAAATAGATGCAAAATGTGACAACTTAATAATGTTTCATAAAACAAACCAACACAAAAATAACCAAAACAACTGGAAGTTTGCTTGAAGCAGAATCATAAATTTCAGAACATTCAACCAGAGGTAGATTATTGATTTAAACAACATTCAAACAGCATGCTGCTACAACAACAATTTTCTCTCATAAAAACATTTTTCTATAGCATGAAAACTAATAATTTTGCTTTTTTTATTTGAGAGAGTACAGAAGAATTTTTTAAGACTATCATAATCAGTATGATCAATTTATTAACACCACCCAATTCTATGTCTTAGCTGGCAGAATCTTATAGCCTCCTTGACTAAGTGCATGTGGAAGGCCGTTTATTACTTGTTTTTCACAATTTGGGGGTCACAGTAAATCTTTATCTACTCTCAAATTCCCCACCAAAGACTACTTCCTTCCCTCATTTCCCCCCTTGGGCAGGAAAGGTGTAGTCTTTTATTTTATTTTTTGCATGTACAAGAAAGTCCCTCAGCAAGATTAATTTTTAAAGTATGTAAATCTGTAGGGAGCCCAGTACATAATTTGCAATATAAAAATAATAAATGATATCAGCTGATAATTTCTGCAAATGTTTACAAAGTAAACGGACACCCACTTCAAGTTTAATGTAATAAACTATGAACAAGTTCCTCTTTCATTTCCCTCTGATCCTTCTGAATTTTGGGGTGCAAGGCCTCAAAATCTGTAAGCAGCTTCTTTGGACTACTCTCTTTTTACTTTGGTCTTTTGCCTGCAAACGGTCTCAGAGTGCAGCAATTTAACCCTCACTCCTTCATTTTTGGCCTATCTGGCACCTTCTATACAGGACCAGACTTTTGGGGGAAAGCAGGAAGCACAATGTTTTCCTTTTAGAAGATCTTTATGTTAATTAAAACATTTTTAGTTCTTCACAATGTTTTCCTGTTCTTCTACAGGTAAGCCCCGATTCTCCAGATCTTGAATTTATCCAAATTTGAAATAAAATCAAAAACTATATTTTACACTTGTTGCAAGTGTCTGCTGAGACCTTTGTAATATTGATTTTTATTTTTTACTTAAAAACCCAAGAAAAACACACCTATGCAACAAGTTATTTACCAAATAAAAAACCATAGATGCTTCCTACCAAGCATATAGCTATTAGACACCTCAACATCACCTTCCACCTTCTGATTCTTTTCCTACCGTCTTAAATCACACTTTATTCTTTAGGTCATATGCATGCAGACTACCAGACATGAAATCACTTACTATCTACCAAATTCTCTCCTGCTATTAAAACATGGCCCACACATCTGGGCTTCAGAGCATTCCATAATTTTTACTGCCAGACTCTGGAGATGATCCTGTGCATTATTATTCTAAAGCCTATCAGTAATGAGATCAGTAACTCTAAAACTAACATTACCCTTCACAGTGATGGCAACAAAATAACTTTTGGATTGGAAGAAGGAACTGTGGTATCGGGAGACCAAGTTCAGAATATGTTTATGAAAACATGTACATTGCCATTCATAAATAGGCAAGACAGAAGCAATACAAAAATATTCGACTCCATGTCTGACTCTAAATGTAAACATTTCTGGAAAAAATGTAAGATTGTAAAATAGGGAAACGGTAGCAGACGATTCACACTCAATGCATAGACTCATAAGCAATAGTATTAAAAAATCCTCTCACTAAATCCATGAAACAGTGAGTTTAACTTTTAGGATTTTGTCCTTCAGAATAAATGTAATTCCTTATGGAATTTGTGCTAAGATACCACAATACCATATTATGTGAGTCCTAAAGATGCTGTAGAACTGTTTATCTTAGAAACAGAAGAGACTACCAGCGTCTCATTTTAGTTTCGTGCTCATATACTTCATTGATGGGTGTCTTATAAAAAAAAAAAACCCAACAGGTAGAATTGTTTTCTTGCTTCCAGATGGTCTGCAGGCAAGTGCTACTGTTTGCGTATTGCGAGAAGCTGCCATTGTTTTTAGTGTTTTCAAATTCATAAATATAGCAAAAATTGTTTGTAGACAATATTTCCCATTTTACTGTATTTAGAGACAGACTAATCAAAACCAAGACATTTCACTGAAGAAAGGGAAAGACTGCATCTCTACGTGAAAACTAGCAAGAATCCAATATAAGTGCACATCTTATCATAATTTCTACGCTTTAAAATGGTTAACGTGAGGGTGGTACATGAAAGTAAGAAGGACCAGAACTGAAAGTCTTATCTAAAATAAAGGAACTCCTCCAATTAACTTTCTATCATCATTGCGATCAGCAAGTGGACTAGGTAGCTAGAAGTAATATCAGGCACAGAGCTAGCCAGTTGTTCCCTAGTAACCTAGACATGTCCCCTTGGTGGAAGGCCAGGGTCTGGCATGCCGCCGTCCCATAAACCCCATACAACGGGGGGAAGAGACGGCCACACGTCCAGAAAAAAATGGCTCAAAGGATGGAACCCAATCTGGGTGCCCTTCCCCTGTGGAATACAGGGGGCTCAGTTGGGCGTTAGAGAACCTGGGCTCGGCTCCCACCCAGTGCCAGGCTGAGGCTCCCCCTGGAGGAAGAGCTGTTGAGTTCGGAACCCGGTTGTGGTGCCCACACCCAGGGACGTTAAGTGGGCCTACAGGAGAAACTGGTTTGTCTCTCCCACCCTCATGCAGGAGGCCCGAGGAAGAGAACCTGGCCTGTACCTCCATCCCAGGAGAACGCATGGGGGGGGGGGGGAGAAGGGGGAACGGGCCTGTAGCCGCCGCCCCCCCCCCCAAGGGGCCTGGAACCTGAGCTGCGCCCCGCGCCAGAGAACACAGAGCCGGGGGGTGGGGGACAGAACCTAGGCCCCCCTCCCGCCCCTCCAAAGCGCAGGGACCTGGGGGGACCCCAGCCTCCCCCACCCCTCAGCAGGTTCCCGGGCACGTGTCTCCCCTGGCCGTGCCCCACCTGTAACCGTAGGCGGTGAAGCGCTGGCTCGCCCGCAGCAGGGCCCGGTACAGCCGCAGCACCTGGGTCCGGTTGGACGCCGCCATGTTGCTGGCGCAGGTGGGTCCTCGCTCGAAGGCCCCTTCTCCCTCCCGCCCGCGCAGGAGCCTGAGCTCAGTGCGGCCGCCTCAGCCCCGGGCTGGGGCGCGGGGACCCCGGGGCGGGGCGGGAACCGGGGCCGCCCCCTGCTCGGCTCCAGCTCTGCCGGTCGGCACCCTGCGCCTCGGTCTCAGCCGGCGGCCTCCGCTCGCGGCGTGTCAGGCGGGGCTCGGGCAGCTACAGCGGCGAGCCCGCGGGGCGAGAGAGCTGAGGGGGACGGTGAGTGGCGGCTGGGAGGGTCCCAGCGGGGCCCCACCTGGGGACACGGTCCCCGGCGGGGCGCGGGGCGCGGGGCGCGGGGGGGGGGCCCAGACGCTGCAGGGCCAGAGGCGCTTCCTAGGGTCGCTGCCGCCGCGTGGTTCCCCTGTGTGCAGCGCTGCCTCTAGCGGGCAGCCTCCCGGCCACGGGGATGGACGTTCACAGCCTCCCCCGAGGGGCTGTTCTGGGCCTGAGACATCCCCCAACCTTCCCCCCACCCCCTCGTTATGAATTATTACTGTGTTCCTGTTTGATGTATTTAAGGACACAGAGAGTATCGGGCCCAGGTTGTACAGTGAAGTCCTCAGAACAAAGACCCTTAACTCTGCTCCCTGCCTCCCAGAAGGTGAAAGCGGGTAGAAGCTGTGTTGTTTTTGTGGATACAGACTAACGCGGCTACCCCTCCGATACTTGTGTTAAGTGAAAAGTGTTCTGATGAATAGTGAATGTATTCTCCCCGTGTGGACCTGCTCAGGAAAAACTGGTCACCTCTTTGTTATTTTTTTCAGGCAACACAATGTTTTTATCCATTTTATAAATCATAACTTCTATCAAAATTGTGTTTCAAGGTGCTGCCTAACATTTTCATTGCTAAAAGTTCAGTTTAGCCAACAAGATTTTTGCTAAAAATATGTATTTAGAAAGTCTCAAAGTTTCATGGAAAACTGGTCCCTGCAAAATGGAAGCTTTCAAAGTATCCCACAAAATCTTTTCAATTTTTCAATCAGCTCTACAATCTTCATTGTAGATGTTCACTTCCTGTTTCTCGTAAGGAAATGTTACACGGTGTTTGCTAGGTCATTAGAAATCAGAGCACTCTGTCCCATGCACATTATTAATCCTGCAAACAAAATATTGAAAAGAGAAACTTTCCCCTGCACATCTTTGAAGCTCCTAAAACACCCTATTTTTGTGCTTTTCTTGCTTATTTACTAATGCACATCAGATTTATTCTCCTGTAACTTCCGTGAAACTACTCTTGATTTGTACTGGTGGGAGACCACAGTCAAGCCCACAGGCCTTGTCAATAGTGAGGAAATTTTCCTGAAAAATTAAACCAGCTTTAAATTTGGTTCAGCAAGGGTCTGATTGCAAACCTGATTGCAGGACTGGGGAAATCTTGAAAACATTTATACATATGTGTAAATGTTTGCAGGACTGAATCCTTACTCATAATTATTTGAAAGTTTCCTCACTTAGATCACAATCGTGCATTGAGAACCATACAGGTTGACCCCTGTGCCCGCCGGACACTCCACTGACCCTAGGTCTTGAAACAAGGAGTGCTGGGGTGCTACCGCACCCCCTGGCTTGAAGTGGTTTCCATCATATACAGGGTTTACAGTTTGGATCCATGGCTCTCAGCACCTCCACTGTAGAAATTGTTCCAACACCTTTGCCACTGACCTCAACAAGAGTGTCTCTTTGGTTCTCCATGCAGAATCAGTGTCTTTAAATGGCTTGTGATAGACTTCTCTGTCACATATTTGAAGGGTACTTCTTAACCAAAACACGGTATCCTGCATTTGGAAAGTTGAACCTAATTAGACTTTTAGAATTGTTAAAGTTAAACACATGTCCTAAGGCAGTGGCTCAGCCTTTTCAGATTACTGTACCTCTTTCAGAAATCAGATTTGCCTTGTGTACCTCCCAAGTTTCACCCCACTTAAAAACTACTTGATTACAAAATCAAACATAAAAATACAAAAGTGTCACAAAAAGAAAAGGAGTACTTGTGGCACCTTAGAGACTAACCAATTTATTTGAGCATACGCTTTTGTGAGCTACAGCTCACTTCATTGGATGAAGTGCTCAAATAAATTGGTTAGTCTCTAAGGTGCCACAAGTACTCCTTTTCTTTTTGCGAATACAGACTAACACAGCTGTTACTCTGAAAAGTGTCACAGTACCCTATTACTGAAAAATTGCTTACTTTTTCATTTTTACCATATAATTATAAAATAAATCAATTGAAATATAAATATTGTACTCACATTTCAGTGCATAGTATATAGAGCAGTATAAACAAGTCATTGTCTGTGTGAAATTTTAGTCTGTACTGACTTCACTAGTGCTTTTTATGTATCCTGTTGTAAAACTAGGCAAATATCTAGATGAATTGATGTATCCCCTGGAAGACCTCTGCGTACCCCCAGGGGTCTGTATGCCTCTGGTGGAGAACCACTGTCCTAAGGCTCCAATGTTGCAAACACTTGCACACCAGAGTAACTTTATGCAAATAAGTAACCCTGTTGAATTTAATAGGACTGCTGTCATGCATAAAATTTCTTTTGTTCTTAAATGGTTGCAGACTCGAGTCCTTGAAAGATAAACCCATAAGAAGGACAGCGGAAAGGGTGTAACATTCAAACCACATGGACAGAGTATTGGCAGCCAGAAGTCAGGTTAGTTCTTTGTATTACAAACTGTTAAGGGGCTCTTTGGGTTGAAGTTGGGGAGAGGAAGGGATTATTGAAGTGAAAGTTGAGAAGGCAATGCCAGAGGGAGAGGTTGGGCAGTTGAAAGGTTGCATGGTAGGAGAGGGGCAGGATGATCCAGGAGTCAATAACTAATATCAGTCCAATACTACTTTTACTTCTTTGAACTGCTTCCACAGTTCAGATAATTTCAATCATAAAGGCCTATGGCTGATTCAGACAACGTTGCCAAACCTACAGTCACAGGAATGCTCCACATTGTGGAAACACCGTGGATTATGGGCATATTTAGTCATATCTCGCCTAATCAATGCGCTATTATTGCAGGGCCCTTTGGGCATTGCTAGCACCTTGGTCTCTCCTGTTCTCCGTTTATCGCACACAGTTTAGTTTCATGAGGACTGAAATGCTTTTGTCTAACTAAAGTTACACATCCTGGGATGGATAAACCAGGGAATTCTTGAATAGGAGTAGAGAGGTTATTTTACTGCTATATTTGGCATGGTGTGACCCCTGCTGGAATACTGTGTCCAGTTCTGGTCCCCACAATTCAAGGGTATTGATAAATTGGAGAGGATTCAGAGAAAAACCACAAGAATATTAAAGGGTTAGAAAACATGCCTTTATGCCAAAGAGCTCAATCTATTTAGCTTAACTAAGAAAATGTTAGGGAATAACTTAATTACAATCTATAAGTATCTACATAGGGAACAAATAATTAATAATGGGCTCTTCAGTCTAGCAGAGAAAGATATAACATGATCCAATGGCTGGAAGTTGAAACTAGACAACTTCAGACTGAAAATAAGGTGTAAATTTTTGGCAGTGAGAATAATTAACCATTGGGAAATTTACCATGGGTCCTGGTGGATTCTCTGTCACAAACAGTTTTTAAATCACGATGGGATGTTTTTCTAAAAGGTATGTTCTAGGAATTATTTTGGGAAAGTTCTATGACCTGTGTGGTACAGGAGGTCAGACTACATGATCACAATGGTCCCTTCAGGCCTTGAAATCTATGCATTCTTTGGGCTTAATATGGGGATAGTTGGGTGAAATGTAATGGCCTGTGATGTGCAGAAGGTCAGATTAGATGATTGGATGATCCCTTCTGGCTTTAGCCTCCATAATAATGTGATGATTCCTGCTTGTGGTCTGGTGTCACGTGGTGTTGAGTATGATTTGCTTTGTGCTGTTTGAGAGCGTTGAGGCAGGGTGATAGCACAAGGACTCTTGGGAAAAATGTCCCTGGGAAGTGTAGCAAAGGTTTTCCTCTGTCTCTTTCTGTTTAACAGGAAACTTCCATCCACCATTTTCCTTATTCTTTCTGCAAGCACATACACCCTCTCCTGAGACTGAGTTTACATGGGAGTTTAATAGGTGGAGAGAGGTCATCTGCATTTAGTCTTGAAGTTGTGGGCCCAAGATTTTGCAAGAGGTCCCAGCTTTGTTGGAATTGGCTCTGACAAAGGGTACATGTTACCTGTTGTCTGCGCGCACACGGCTCCTCTAAAGTGTATTGCTCATGGAATAAACAGTTAACTGTGAATTATGAGGTTATAATTCAGTTACTAGGTTCTCCTTGTTTATTTAATAAGTCCTAGATTTACCCTCCTCTGCTCTGTGGGTTATTGCTCCTTCACCACAGCCGCACCATCAGCCTCCACTTTTCTCTCGTCTGCACTGTAAGCATCCAGATTTTTCCAGACCTTCAAATAGAATGGCTCCAACTTCCAGCTCTGCTGGTAGTTTTGTCACGACTAGCGCATGTCGTTTATATCACACCAGTATCTGATTGATTTTTTTTAATATAATATCACCAATATGTATTATTTGGTATAGCAGTGTTTCTAACATTACGGTCGGTCTATCACATGCTATTTAAATAGTGAATTAGTTTGTCTTCAGAAAAGGTGTGTTTGTGGTGCACCATTTTCACTGATTAAACTGATATTTAATTTGCACCTGTGCTTGAGTTTTCTTAATTCCATCAGCTACATTTCTGACCCAGTTTATAGTGTGTTTATAAAATAATGCTTTGTGTGTAAATAATACAGATAAATAACGCAATATTGACTGTAGAATAACCTCTCTCTGTCTATATTTATACACTGCACACACACAAGTTGTTTTCTTTTGGCTATCCTTTGGGTCTTGTGAAAAGCATACAAGCAATTTAAAATACAGTTCACTTTTGTTTAATTACATATAGCACCTTCTCAAACATTCTTCTATGTTAAAAACAAAATTAAAATTGTTCTAAGAAACTTTAAATTGTTCTACAGAAATGCAATTAACTGAACTTTCATGGCCAGCACCATACTCCTTGGGGTTTCCTTGGTAGCTATAGGTCACAGAATGAAGCATTGTAGGCTGGCTGTGTGAATTAAGGGAATACGAACAGAAGAAATGAAGGGTTTTTATTGTTTTTGTGCTGTATACTTCTCTTGGTCTGGGCAACAGGTATGCTAAACACATATTAAAATGGAATTTTCCATTTTTATTTGCAGATTCTTTATAACATTCTTCCTAAAATTCTGAGACAACCACACTTTTTGTTTCTTCATTCATATATTTAAGAGATCTTTAAAAAATCTGCAATCTTCATTTAGCCAGTAAAATCTAGTTTGGAAGGCTTGGAAAAGGTTAGATAAGTAAAAGTAGATTTACAGACTAGTGCAGTGATGACTCGTTCTCAATTTAGTTTCCTTTCAGTCATTGGAACTAGAGCATTGGTCACTAAGCTGTGGGGTGTGCCCCCCTAGGGGAGTACAGAGGAATGTTGTGGGGGACGCACGGCGGGACCCAAGTCAGCCCCCACGGGATGGAAGGAGGGAATATCACCTAGCCCGGCTCCAGCCCTAGCTCAGCCCCTGCTGCAGCTCCACTCCACCCTCTGCTCCCTTTCCTCCAGCTCCTCTCTCATTCCTTCTCCACCCCCAGGCCAGCTCCGCCTCTAGCCCCAGTTCTTCCTCCATCCTCAGTTCTCCCTCCAGCTCTGCTTTCAGCCCAAGCTCCTCTGCTGAGCCAACTGTGCAGTAAAGGCGGGGAGGGTGTGGACAGATTCCATTATGGGTAAGAGGGGGTGTGACAGGAAAAGTTTGGGCACCATTGAACTAGAGGTTCTATTGCTCTCTTATTGATCTCCAAAATATGAAAGAATTATGAGGAAGAAGGCAAAATATATTAAAGCAAACCTTGTTTACAGGAATGCTGTCAGTTTGAAATCTAATCTAGTCATTAAATAAATTATTTAAAAAAAATTCAGGTACTACCCATGCTCCTGAGTCCAACTGATAATTTTTGTGGTTTTACAACCACATGCCCTATTTTTAAAACATTTTTCATTCTCCTGTGTCAGTATGAAAGCCACACGTATATGTAAAACAAACAAAAGACAAATCAGAAGAAAGTGATACACAAAGTGCAGTCAACTGCAAAAGTGAACTAAAAAAGGCGATTTCCTCCCTTTTATTTTGGTTATAGTAATTGCAGATTGCTTGAATCAAGCAGTAGGAACAAGATTCAGACAAGTTTTCTTTTTTAAGTTGATGGTTTTGTTGGATAGAGTGATTAATTTTATAGATTTGTTTTGCTTTTGCTTTTCTTGGAAGCCATGTATTGCACAAAAATAAGTGCTGCTTGTCTTCAGCATGTGGGCCCTGATAATTATCTTACTCAGATCACAGATTTAAATGGGACCGGGACTGGTCCACTTGTGTGTTTGTGTAAACTGTGCTTTTGCTTACTTACATGTTGCTGTGCAAATATGAGGGAGAATTTAGTGGTGTGCGTAAAATCTTAGCATAAACAAACCTAGGCAACATTTTCTGAATGTTGTTGGTTGATACCTTGGTCGGGTTTTATTGTTATATTTTATTTAGACAGCAGTCTTTGCTGCTTGTGTTCAGGTTTGGAAGAAGGAAACCTGGCTGGCCCTCTTTTTGCCTTATATCTTAAGATAAATGAGCAATTTGAGAATGATGTAATAACATAAGCATCTGGTGTACTTGATAATATTCTAAATCTGTAGTAGGAGAAAAATGAATTTGAACAAAATACCTGCAGAGACTGCAGAACTGTGTGAAATGGAGCAGCTGTTACATTCTCCGGGGCATATTTGTAGCTTTGTCATATGCTGCCTAAATTATTCTTTTTGGTATATCATTTCAGCTTTATGACATGGCACTCAGTGCTTTGAGAGAGCATGTGCTTTCCTGTTCTATTGTTGTTCATGTTGGTTATTTTTCTTTTGGGGTTGGAGTGATAATTGATTGTCATGATATTATCATCTTTTTTAATTACCATTTTTCAACTTCTAAAAACTGGATAACCTCTTTTCCTTCCTGCTGCAGCTCTGATTCTCCTTCGTCTTAATCACTTTTGCTCCTTGATAGCAATGATAGACAGTGCCACACAGAGTTAGGTTCTGCCCTTGTTTGGATTCTATACCACCCATTGAAAATTAGGAATGCAAATCAAGGCAGAATTTGGCTCTCAGCCAATATTATCATAGTTGATTATAATTAAAAAAGTGTTTTTCTGTTGCCCACACTGGGTAGGATTATTTCCTCATAACAAATGGGTATTCTGAATAATTCTGTTTCTAAAATTAGTAATTTCTTTATATTCGTGTAATTGCCTACAGAAACAGAACTGAACAATGGGGTGGTGGCTTTCAGAAGCACTTAAGTGACTTAGGAGCACAAGCACTTTTGAATGTCAGAAGTAGTTTTGATCCTAAATTCCATAGGCACTTCTGAAAATCCCACCCTAAACTTTTGACATTAGAAGAAATAACAAGAGAAAACTCTTCCATCTCTCTGGTCCCATAGGGAGAAGTTCTATTTCTGTATGAATCCTATTGCAGGATTCTGATCATGCATCAATACACTTCTTGCTTGCCTCGTTTGGGTTTAACAAGAAAATGTATTGATTAAATTTCAAGCTTTTGGGAATACAAAAAG